TCTGTCTGCTCTGCCCGCTGCCCTGCCAGGCCTCGGTCCTGTCTGCTGCCATGCCCACTGTCCAGCTGTCCGTCCCGCCCGTTCTGCAGCCGTCTGTCTGTCCTGCCCGCTGCCCTGCACTGCATGAGAATGCCCTCAGACCTGTCTGCTGCCCTGCCCACCCGTTGTGCACTGTCTGTTTGGCCTGCCCGCTGCCCAGCCTGGCCCTCAGTCCCGTCTGCTGCCCTGCCCACTGTCCAGCCATCCGTCCTGCCCCTGCTGCCCTGCCCACTGCTCTGCCTGCTGCCCATTTGTCTGCCCTGCTGCCTGCCGAGCTGTCTGTCCTGCCCATTGTGCACCCGTCTGTGCTGTCCGCCGCCTTGCCCTTGCCCCCAGCCCTGCCAGCAGCCCTGCCTGCTGCCTGGCTGTCAGTCCAGCCCGTTGTCCAGTCGTCTGTCCTGCCTGCAGCCCTGCGCGCTGCCCTGCCTGCAGTCCATTGATCAGCCCTGCCGGTGACGGGGCTGCCAGCCCTACGCGCTGCCCTCCTTGCAGCCCGCTCTGCAGCCCCGTGACCCGCTGCCCGGCTGCCTCTCCCGCCTGCAGCCCGGCTGCCAGCCCTGCCCGCCGCCTGGCCTTTACTGTCGCCTCAGCCCTGCCTTCTGTTCCTCCTGCCTGCCCTGTGCTTTGCCCTCCCTCTGGCTCAGCCCTGCCCATTGCCCAGCCTGGGCTCCGCTGCCCTGCGCTGCCCTCGGGGCTGCCTGCAGCCCTGCGTCTCGTGGCTGGCCCCTGCAGCTGGCTGCATGATGGAAAGGCGGCTTTTCCCTTGCTAACAGCAAGGAGCCTTCTCTGCCGACATCGCAGCCTTCCTGGAAGCACTTCAAAGCCACAAGCTCTTTGTATTGCTAGCAAGACGCTATCTATGAGAATAAAGCGCTACCCGGCAGAGCTGCTCCCGGGTTGCAGGCGGCTGCAAAGTGTGAGCGGAGATGGGGGCTGTGCCAACGCTGCCCGAGGAGGCGCCGGGAAGCTTTGCTGCAATTCAAAGAGCCGAGCGCCGGTCGTGCCTCTAATGAAAGGGGTTTCTTTATGCAGCACGACAAGCAGGGCATCTCTCCTGCTCCTTGTGCCTCGCAGAGAGGGCCTTTCGCTCTTCCTTCCTTTCGCTGGCTTGTGGAAGCAGATGTTTGTGGTGACGTGACAAGGCAGGTAGCGGGTCATGTGAATTATGCCTGCACTGTTGGTGACGCAGCCAGCTCGCCGGCAAAACCTGCTGCTCATCCCCCGTGCCCTGCAGATAGGGCTGCTCGCTTGGGTGGGAATGGCAGGGCCAGCAGTGGGAGCGAGGGATGCTCTGGAAGCTGAGATGGTCCCGGGAGGGATGAACCAGGAAGGGAAAAGCCAAGGTGCCAGTACAGCATGGGGAATCACTTGGTGCATCCCAAAGCATCGCATTGGTGTTCTCCATCTGTAAATCTTCCCTGTGTTTGATGAGCACCGGGGCATTGCTTCCTGGCAGGAGAGCACGTGCAGCGGGGCTCCCCACGCCTGTCGTATCAATAATGTCCATGCAGGGGGCCAATAAAGCAGGAGCTGCGTGAGCTGGTCCTCACGGTTCACAGAGCTAAATAAGCTCCTGCTGGCCTGGTTTCCAAACCTGGCTAACTTGCTGCCTTCAGAACAACTTGGAATTTCCAGCAGAGACAAACTGCGATTGCGGGGAGGGTTACAGAGGTGGACAGAGGTGCTTTGGTGGATCCCAGGGTGGACCAGAACAGGGAAGATAGTGCCCGCCTCACAAAAGTGCCTGCAAAACTGGGCTGTTGTGATACCTGCGGGTGCTGCCCATCAGGCTGCACACGGGCAAGGTGCTGGAGCAAGAAAATGTGGGTAGTTAATCAAATTTGACCAATGGATTCAGGCATGGAAAATCATGGTTTGTTCAGGCTTCAAGGCTTCAGGGAAGCTTCTCTCTTTTAACCAGTCTCTGGAGCACATTCAGCAGCAAGGGCTGGAGCAGCGGGCACTGGGAATTGGGCTGGTCCCATGTGTGAGTGATATCCAAAAGAAGAGGGAAACAGGCAGGGCAGAAGCGAGAAATGGTGCTGTCTAAGAGGCCTGGAGCACAAATATTTCCATTCTGGAGCTGGAATTGCTTTGGGAATTCTGGGCTTCAACACTCATGAGCCAGCAGCTCTAAACCAGCTCCATCCTGCACAGGGCACAGCTGGTGGCACAGAGCTCTGAGCCCCTCGGGGTCACCACTGTGCCAGGATTTGGGGGAAATTCCATTTGTTTGGAATCTAAGGAACTCAGCTGCAAGAGCTTTCCCAAGGGGTGTTAAGGATGCATGAGAGACAAAGTCAAAAACGAGAAAATGCCGAGGCGTTAATGCAGCTCTGTGCCTCCCCTTGAGTCCCTGCACTGCAACAGTCTTTCGCAGCAATTATTACATTTGTGTTTTTCCCGTAGGATGCCTGCCTTGCTCAGCACGCGGCGTGCACGGAAGAACACAGGCTGGAACGTGGAAGCTGTTGGCCGCATCACTCAATGGAGAGACCTGGTCGTGAGGGAGATAAGACTAAAAACCACACTGCTAATTTCATTTAATTTTACTGACTGCTGCCCTGGACACAGGGTTTGGCATGCCTGCCTCTGCCCCCGTGTCCTTGCGGGATACCAAGGGAGCCTCCTGAACCAAGCTTCTGGCAGGGGGTCGATACCTCTCTGCTTGTTATTGCCTGGAAGCCTGGCTTGGAAACCAGCTGCTTGATCATCAGGAAAGATGCATGAAAAACCAACAGGAGCCAGAGGCAAGATATGCATTGTGTTATAACAACACTGGAAACTCAGAAAAATCAGGCCCAGGGCATCTCAGACCAGCAGGGCAGGGAGCCAACCCCTGAGCATGTCCGTTCCACCTGGGCTCATCTGCTGTCCCAGGAAAGGGCATTCCGTCCCATTCCCAGAGTGTGCGGAGCTGTGAGGAAGGGAGTCGTTCCTAATTCCCTGCAAGAGCTGGGAGCCAGGGGACTAATGGAGAAGCTATAAAGGAAAAGTCAAATCGTAATTCCTGAGGCTAGGAGAGGGGAGGTCGGAGCGTTAAAACATCATGTAAACATCTCTGTACTCAAAGTGTCTGGGGATGGTTCATTATGCAGCCTCAATTCCGGCATTTCCAATGCCTTGTTTGAAGGCATAACATCTCCATTTGCATCTCCACACCTAGATGCAGACACACGCATACATTTATGCTTGCGAATATATACACAAACAGACATGTGGAATAGCTTTCGGAGGTCGGTCCCTAGGATTGGCCTGGGAATCACGGTCATGAGCGGAGTGGAAACTTCACTCTTGTCTCCTGCTGCCTCCGTGAGATGGGAATCTGCTCCAGTTAATGTGAGGACTGGCCGGGGCTGCTGCCCGCTGCAAAGTCAGTGCAAAGCCAGGCTCCCTCTTCTACTCAAGATGCAATTAATTCCCAGGCGACAGAGGCAGCATTTGGCTCTAAGACTCCCTGGAAAACCAAGACAGTGGCAGTAAGTCAGGAGGGAATGCTTTACTGCGCTGGGAACTTACAGTGGGAGCTGGCAGCTCCTTCAGTGCTTTACCCAGCCCAGGGTTTACCCGCTCCTGCTCCTCGGATGCAGTGACACCGAGTCACCCGCCGGTGCTTTGGCCTCCCTCCAGGTTGCACAGCAGCACAGCAGCTCTCCCGGCAATTCCCTGGGTTGGCAGGAGGAGACACAGGCCGAGGCAGATGTTCCCCAGGCTGCCTGTATGGAAGTGATAATCAAACGATAGATTATTTCCGAGCAACGTCTGCATTTGCAGACATTAGTTTTAGTGCTGTGCAAATGGTTTCGAGGAAAAAAATTAACGCAGGAATGTGGAGAAGGGTGGGATGAGCCAGACATGCTGTGGGTGATGCTGGCGAGTAGTTTTGGGTGGCTCCATGTCCCGGGAGCCCCCTGCGACCTCCGTGGTCAGGAAGGGATGTAGCTGCAGCGCACGGGAGCAGCTGCAGGTCCCTTGGTGTTAAGCATCTCATGGGGCATCAGGGTGTGTGGCCCGAGGTCCGTTTTGGGGATGCAGAGGGCACCTCCCCTCCGCGCAGGGCACGGACTCGGT